TATATATAATAGAACTATATAAGTTTGAACTGGTATAACTTTGGATCTTGGCCCAAAGGGAAGGGGCAACAGTTTGGCAGGAGGGATAGCAAGAATTGGGAGGAAAAGCTGATTAATGATTAATAATTGATTATCCAATTAGCCGAATGAACGCCTGAGGCCAGAAGGGATAGGGCCTCCAGCAGCTGTCCTCCAGACAAAAACTGGAGGGGGGGTTCTGCTTTACTTCGCCCCGAGTGAGGCTGCGGGAAGGGCCAACAATAAAATAGACCAAAGGTCAGGTATTTACAGCAATTCGAGTATGAGAAACAGTGCTCTTGGCCTGCTGATGGGGCCTGTTATGAGCTAGATCGACCGCAGCAGGAACAGCGAGGAGACAAAATGGCACCCGACCATGAGGCGGCGCCCAAAATGGTGGCTGCGAGCTGAGCAAAGTGTCGGGGCCTCTCGGGGCGGAATTATGCTCCTCTGGCGAGCTCAGCGTGCCAAGAGGGGCCATGCAGGAGAGATTTGGCTCTTCCTGAGCGATTGGCATTTGTGGTGGGGGGAAACCAGCAGCACTTTAAAGCGAGAAAAGATCGAGCCGCTAACAAAGGTGGCGTGGAAAGCGGCAGGGAGAAAGTTAGATCAAGGATGGGGGGGTTAGCGCAAAAGCGCTGCAAGCCCACCCGCTTTTTTCCCCTTAGGGGGCGAGAGAAAACGTTCCCCTGGATTACCACCAATTGCGCAAGGGCTAAAAGAAAGAGAAATCAAACCTTATCGTAGTGAATAAAAGGAAATCCTGAGTCGGCCAATGAGCTTGCTCTAAAACAGCCTGTCTCTCATGAGGCTGAGCAAAAAAACTGGGGAACGCTACATGGAGTCACGTGGAGGAGGAGGAGCATTCCTCAATTCAAGCTCAGCCTGTGAGAGAGAAGTCTGAAGCACCTCCCACTCTGGATGCTCCGAGCAGCTCTATGGAGAAGATCCTCATTAGTATATAACCAAAGCATTCACCTTTATATGTATTGCGTGCATACACATCTTCATCATCTTCTATTGGTGAATATCCTGATCCTACAACACAAAAGAGAAAAAACAATGCAGCAAGAAGGAAAATATAATGCATTTTAAATGTATCTGTTAAGTTCTTGCAAAGATAAACAAAGGAAGATTTACCATGTAACAAACATCATACACCCAGGCAAATTGCATAAGCTTCCATGTATAGCAATGTCTGTTTAGAGTAAAACACATAAAACTATTGATTTATGATGTCAAAATTGATAATTAAATTGTTCTCAATTTTAAATCAGAAACAGCTAAAATTCATGCAGCTGCAGTCTTACATCACAAATCAATATTTTTAAGGTTTCATTATAAGACATTTTAAAGATACAAAGATATACATCTGCCATCCTAACAATTGCAGATGTCATGCAGATGTAACTATCACTCTACATTCATATATATGTACAAGACTTAGTTATGAAGATAAAGTGATGATTACATACACCTGAAGCTATTCCAGCCAATCAAAGCATTAACAGTATAAAATAAAATAAATAATAAATTACTGACCTGAATGGAAAATGAATATAGAATATATTGCCATATCTCATTAAACCTGTATATAGTATTTTTTAATACAGGTACTCAGTACAAGGTACAAGGAATATGAGATTTCACTTTGTGTCTTCATCTGTTAAAATAATTCCTTCCATTATTTGGCAAGTACACAGTCATAGTTCCCATGCCCACTATTCAAGATGTACATCCTTGATAGATTAGCCCAGGCAAATAAATCCCTAAAGAGCAGATCTGTGCTATACATTTTAAAAGATGTAATCTCTTGCTTGACAAGGACAAATAGCCTGGTTGAAAAATATTGATGTGGGGACAAATATTTTGGTTGACAAATATGGATGTGGGGAATTTATTGTGCAAAAACTTGCTTTTAAGAGTTACTGCCAGTCATGGGATTCAAATAATTTAACCACCTGCCCTAATGACTGGCTGGATAAGCATTGCTGGGTGCTCATGTGATTGAGCGGGCGTGGCCAACTTAATATCACTCACGTTGAGGGGCGCTTTGTCTCACCCAGCCTGTCATGAATGTGGGGATTCTGCAACAGTTGTAAGCGTGAAAAACGGTCATAAGTCACTTTTTTCAGTGCCATTGTAACTTTGAATGGTTACTAAATGAACGATTGTAAGTCAAGAATTACCAGTATAAAAATACAAAAAGCTTCTTTGCTTGCAAAAAGCTGCCCTAAATACCAATCATTAGATTAGAAATGGGGGTATACACACTGAAGATCAATGACAATCACAGCCAGGTATCTGATGACATTTCCAACATTTTTCAGATTTGTTCTTGAACATTTTTGCTATTCTAGTCGGGGAAGAAATGCCACTTGTAAATCATCTTATACAAATTTTCTTTATATGCTGTTGACATAGTCATTTTATAATTTTGAGAACAAAATTTTTGCCATTTCTCTAGATCAATCCCGTATCCAAAATTCTTCCTCCAAGCAATCATAGTTTCTTTAACTTGTTCTTCTTCTACTTTAATTTCTAATAAATATCCATACAATTTTTTAATCACCTTTTCATCAGTACCTGTCAAAATCTTATCTAAGTCAGTCAGTTTATCATAGAAACCTTCTGTTTTAGAATCTTTGTCATACCTTGAATGTATTTGCGCATATGAAAACCAATTCATCTTTATATCTTCTTCCTCTAATTTTTGCATAGATTTAAGTTCAATTTTCATTCAATATTTCACCATATCTATCTGTTTGTTCCTTTTTATATATTATAGGATAAGAAAATGCTTCAATAGTCGATAGCCAGACTGGAATTTTCAAATAACATTGCCTTTTAGTCTTCTCCCAGTTTAACGACAGAGACTCCCATATATAATGTCTTCTAAAATACCCCTGTGTTTTAGTTCCTTTATATCATAAAAAAGCATTCCACCCCAACAACAGATCATATCCTTCTAATGTCAACAATCTAGTATTTCTTAATGTTATCCATTCCTTAACCCACATCAAATTTGTAGCTTGGTAATACAACTCCCAATTAGGCAAACCAAATCCTCCTCTTATTCTGGCATCTTGCAAAAGTTTTAACTTGATTCTCGCTTTCTTACCTTGCCATATATATTTCAACACTACTTTATTTAAATCTTCAAAATAATCTTTTCCAAGCCTAACTGGAATTGTTTGGAACAAATATAAAATTCTGGGTAGTATATTCATCTTGATTGTTGATATTCTCCCTATTAATGATAGTTGTAAATTTTCCCATTTCGCCAAATCTAGTGCTATCTGCTGCTTAAGTTTGATATAATTATTCTCTTTTAGTGTACTACATCTTGCTGTCAAATGTATCGCCAAGTACTTGATCTTATTCGTGACCTGAATTTTCAATACATCTGCCAGTTCTTCCCTTTGTCTTGATAGCATATTCTTTGTCAAGATCTTTGTTTTATCTTTATTTATTTTCAAACCAGCCACCTTTCCATATACCTCTATCTTTTTTATCAATTTTGATGCTGTTTCTAGTGGATCTTCTAAAATGAAAACCAGATCATCTGCGAATGCTTGCAACTTAAATTCTTCCTTTTTAATTTTCATCCCTTTTATATCCTTTTCTTCTCTAATATTTCTGTTTAACAACAAAGGTAATAGTGGGCACCCTTGCCTTGTTCCTTTTCTTATATCAATAGAGTCTGTCAGTTCTCCCTCTATCATTACCTTTGCCGTTTGCTTATAGTATATAGCTTCTATTGCTTGAATAATTTTTTTACCAAAGGCCATATGTTCCATCTGTAATAACATGAATCGCCAATTCACATTATCAAATGCCTTCTGTGCATCTAAAAATATCAAAGCCATTTGTTTTTCAGGGTGTGCCTCGTAGTATTCCAAAGTGTCCAAGATTACTCTCATATTGTCTTTAATTTGTCTCTTTGGCAGAAATCCATTTTGGTCAGAGTGAATAAAATTATTTTGGTATTTTTAAGTCTTTCTGCCAATACTGAACCAAAAATTTTATAATCTGCATTTAGTAGGGAAATAGGTCTGTAATTCTTTATTTGTAATGATCAGGATGGATAAAATTGTTTTAAGTATTTTTTAAGTCTTTCTGCCAATATTGAAGCAAAAATTTTATAATCTATGTTTAGTAAGGAAATAGGTCTATAGTTCTTGATTTGTAATGGATCTGCCTCCTCTTTTGGGACAAGTGTAATATAAGCTTCTGACCATGATTTGGGTATCTTCTTCTTTAACATAACTTCTAGCAATGGAAGGTTCAACGATTCTTGTAGTGTTTTATAAAATTCTGCCGGAAGTCCATCTGGGCCTCGTGCCTTTCCATTGTTTTGCTTCTTAAGTGCTTCAGTTAACTCCATCATCGTTATATTGCTTTCTAACATTGTTTCAGTCTCTTTAGGTATCTGGGGTAGATTAGCATTCTGTAAGTACTGTTTAACTCTTTCCTCATCAATATTCTCTTGTGTGTATAGTTTCCCATAATAGTCTCATATAATTTCCTTCTTCTCTTTACTACCATAGCAAACTTGGCCTTGGTCATCTATTAATTGCAATATTTTCCTTGATTCTTTCTCCTTTTTCAATTTATATGCTAACCATCTACCTGGTTTATTTGCATCTTCAAAATAGTTTCGTGCTTCTGATTTACTGTGCTAGTTTTTCTTTTTCCATTAGTCCCATTTTATGTTTAATTATATCCATTTTTAACTTAATGTCCTTTTTCTGTGGCATTTTCTGTAGCTCTTTTTCAAGTCCTTTATACTCATCCTCTAACGTCATGATATTTCTTTTCCTTGTATAGTCTATTATCAAGCCTCTGGCATATGCCTTCATTGTATCCCATTCGTTCTGCATTGATGTATCTTCTTTTTTGTTTTCTCTAAAGAAGAAAGCCAATTCTTTCTCCATCCACTGTATGAAGTCTTTTTCCTTTAATATAGTATTATTTAACGTCCATCTAGATCTTCTTTTTTGTCCTTTCCATTTAATTGTCATTGGATTGTGATCTGCCCAAGTACTTGTTTCAATATTTATTTCTTGAATATTAGCTAACAATTCTATTGACATCCATATCATATCTATTCTGGACCATGATAAATGTCTGTTTGAATAGAAGGTGTGTTGTTTAGTCTTAGAATTTCTTTCTCTCCATGTATCTTTTAAATTTATTTCATCTATCATTTTAAAAAAAGATTTAGGGAGAGTCTTTCTGTTTTGCTTTGTTGTTTTCTGTGCTGTATAGTCCAATTTATTATCTACAATTCCATTAAAGTCTCCCATCATAACGATATTAGTATAGTCCAGTTCAATTATTTTCATATATAATTTTCTATAAAATTCTTCTTGATTGTCATTCGGGGCATAGATTGCAATCAGGAGTGTTTTCATGTTATTGTCCATTATTTCCACCATTAGTAATCTTCCATTGTCATCGGTATAGATCAATTTCGCTGGGATAATATCTTTAATGTATAAAACCACTCCTCTTTTCTTGCATTGTGTCAAAGAAGTAAATATTTTCCGTAATTTTGGCTGTATCAGCAATTGTTCATGTTGCTTTTTAATATGTACTTCTTGTAGGCAGATTATATCATATTTTAATTTCTCTAATTTATGGAAAGTTTTCCTTCTTTTAACAGCTGAGTTAAGTCCATTTATGTTAATTGTAATCAGTTTTTTCTCTTCCATGTTTATACTTTATAATTAGGTTTATCAGCTCTCGTAGATCTTGGTTCACGTTGTTCTTTGACTTCCACCTTTCTGCCTACTGCACCTTCTTCTTTTTCAGTCGCTATTTGGCAGTCCTCTTGGAATTCAATTAGTGACATTTCTTTTTCTGCCTTCTCCTCTTTCCCTCCAAAATATTCTGTATAAAATAATTCAGCTTTCTCAATTGAGTCAATTTTATGCCTCTGTTCTTGCCATGTGAACATTAAACCTTCTGGAATCAGCCATCTATAATTCACCTCTTTTTTAAGTAGCATTTTAGTCAGAAATTGGTATTCTCAT